TCTCGGAGGGATTCCCGGAGCCGCCATCGCCACCCACGTATCCACGTGCCCGTTGTTGTTCTTTGTACCTCTGCTTGGCGGACTGGTAGGTCACGTAGGCCTGGGCCACATCCTCTGGGATGCCGTCCTCGTCGTCCTCTCTCTGGCATCACTGCCGGAGGTATCGCCCTCGTCATGTCCAGTGAAGTGTGCGGTGTGGGTCTTCTTGCCACGTCCTCCGGAACCTTCCCAGGGTTTGCGAAGGCCACGGTCTTGGATCACCGCTGCTTTCTGCAACTTGTGCAGCGAGTATGAGTTGCCGACGCTGGCCAAAAGGTTAAGCTCCGCACTCTCCTCAAGCTGGAGACGGTCCACGTAGAGCCAAGCAGCGCAATCTTCTGGAAGGGAACAGCCGACCTCGCGGAGCCTGGCATGAAGTCGGTCGTACTCCGCGTTATACTCCCGGATTGGCCAGGTCGCCGCCGAAGTCGTCGAAAGAACTCGGAGAAGGCCTTGCCAATCCTGGTGATCTCGAGGTCGAGGTAGCGGCCGCTGATCCACTTGACCAGGTACTGGACCCCGGTGTCGGTGGACAACTTGTCCACGCTCAGCTCTTCTGCTGCGACCCACGCCTTTCCAGTCAAATTTTGGTAAAGGACCAGCCCCTGCTGAGCCGAAGGCAGTCGGGTCATCCGACGCCACGCCTCCACTTGTCGGAGATAAGACCTTGCCGTGGTGCCCACATCATCTCCAGTGTCCTCTCCATTGAAGGTCGGGACAGTCAACCTCTCGGTGGGGCGATTGCCCCCTCCAGGGCCCATGTGGGAGCGCCCTGTCTCACGGCCGTCCTCGTCGGCGTAGTCGAAGTGTTGCCAGCCTTCCCATACTGTATCTCGAGCACCGGTCTTTCGGCAGTAGCCTTCCCATGGATCACGTTGGGGAGGAGGTTTGTCCGTCGGAGTCTGTCGACGTTTTGCCTCCAGCCATGGATCGAAGGGTTCGTCTTCGGCCGAGGTGGTCGATCCATCTTCGGCCCATTTCTTGCCAGCTCCTTGCCGAAGATCAGGGTCATGTCGCCTGGGGACTCGATCTCGACCATCAGCCTTGGGAGCTTCTCGATCCTCAGGGGAATCGCGTGATTCACGGTGTCGTTCAGGTCGTGCATGGTGATGTCGGTCGCGCCCCCCGCGGCCATCATCTTGCTCGCACCAGCTCCGCTGCCATCGCCTCCAAGACGTGTCAGAGTGACTTGCCCATTGACCACCCCACTCACTATCTCCCCATGAGTCGTGGTCACCCCGCGAGTGAGGACGCCAAGAGGTCTCTCGGTCTCGGCGCTCTCGGCTCGCATCACTGCTGAGGCCACTGCCCGCGATGGACCCGGAAAGACGGGTTACAGGAACTTCTGCTGGGGGGTCCGGTTGAACATCCCGATGCACACTACGAGGATCACTGCCGCCACTGCTACAGTCATCACCAAGAACTTCGCCATGAAGGCCATACACACGGTACTCACCGGAAGACATTGCGCAAGTAGAACTACTGGAGCATAAGGCTCCGCTACCAATGCTAGACTACAGGAAGCGAAACCCCGTGCACCCAGCCTTGTTGCTGTGCGGGCCGCTCTTTTCCACTGTGGACCAAACGCCTTCGGTGGTTGTAACCTGTCAGGTGCAAACGGTGGGACGTTCGGGTGTTTCAGAAAGACCACCAATAAGGTATTCGTACGGAAACACACCGTCAACCTGCGTAGCAGCACAAGGATTGACATTTAGGGTTTAGGGTTTGGGGTTGAGGGTATAATGGAACCAATGTCCCTATTCAGGCAAATAGGGATTAGGGTTTAGGGTTGGCGGTTGAGGGTTTAGGGTTGAGGGTGTTTAGGGAATCAAGGTCCCTATATACAGGTGTTTAGGGATATATAGTTACATTACCCCAGTAGTGGAGCATGGAATGAAATGGACAACGAAACATGACATGGAAACTGAAACTGGGGGGTTGAGAAAACCCTCCCATGGATTTATGGGATTGGGCTTTTGGGCTTTTTGGTGTAGGGCTTTGGGCTTAAGGGCTTTGTAATTTGCAAGGTTTGAAGGTCTCGGGTTTCGGGGCTTAAGACTTAGGATGAAAGAAGGTTTGGAGACAGAGCTTCAGGGGTAAGCGGTTTAGGGGCTTAGGGTTTAGGGTTTACGGTTTGGGGGGGGGGCACGGGTTCTGGGCATCTGGCTCTAGGACTCGAGGTCTTTCAGTTTCTGCGATTCAAGTAGCCTCAACCCTAACCCTCTCAGTCCTGAACCCCAAACCCTACACTAGGGAACCCCAAGTGTGTGGCTCAAGGTTCAAAGTTGTGAGTTCAGGCTTCAGAGACATACTCCACATACTTACTCTATACCCCCTATATACCCACCCAGAGCATCCAGAGGACCCCAGTAGCTGACTAAGAGAGGATTTCTGGTTTTAGGGTTTAAAGTTTCAAGAGTTGAGAACAATCCAATTAGCACCCATCTTTCTACGGATGTTGAGCAGGCTGAGTAGTCAGCTAGCTCAAATTCCACAACCTATCGCTCTCCTGGGGTACCTTATTGCTAAAAGGCGCCTGAAGTAAGTAAGCGGTATGGAGAAGGCTCTAGGCATTTTCTAACCCTTAAACCCTGAAGCCCTAAACCCTGAACGGCCCACGCCTGTGGCAGGCGTCGTCGCCGCCAGGAGGCAGGGTACATGAAGGTTTCGCAATCTCGTAGGTGACCCTTTATGGGCGCCTTCAAGGGATGCTCCCATGAACTGTAGTCTAAACTCCTTAAGAGCAAGTTATATCGTATGTAGGGGATCATATAGGGGAGTACTATAGGGGATATGAAGGGGGATATTAGGAGTTTAGACTATAGCTCACATGATGGATCATCTATTTCAGAGCCCTCTTCCAGATGGACTGGGGAGAGCCCCAAACCCTAAACCCCAAACCCTGAACTCTAAACCCTAAACCCCAAACCATCCTAGACCCTAAAACCTAAAGCCCTAAACCCCAAACCCTCAACCCTAGAAGTCATCTCGAGGCTATCTTCCCTAAGGCAGGTCCGTACACAACTCGTCATCTTTTAACTGACTTTGCGAAGTCTGCACATCAGTTCTTTCCAGTATGAAGTCGACAGACAAGCATCGTAAACATACAGAACATAGAAAGGGAGTGCAGTTCTTGGTGGGTCATTACCAAGCATGTAACCGAATCATCGTAAGTCATTGGTCCTGAACTCTACAATGACCACCTGCAGCTATCCACAGCAGGAAGACCTGTCCAACTTTACAACACGTTTCTGCAGCCTTGCTGCAGGTGGTGCTTCAATGCCTGCCAACGCCAGGCGGAGAGTTTGGGGTATCGGGTTTAGTGTTCAGGGAGAATTTATTTTCCCACAAATTTAAACTTTACTGGGGATGATCAAGGTTGGCTAGGACTCCGTAGTTGAGGGGGGAGGTTGTGTTTGGGGCATAGGGTTTAGGGTTTCGGGTTTAGGAGGTGTGGGTACTTGTCTAAGCAAAGGCTCCTTCATAAATCACTGGTTGAAGTGGGTGCAAAGTGATGCTGCGAACCTGTGTTGCCGACATAGCACGCGGTTCTTCGCGTGCCGGGACTTGTTCCAGTTCAGCTTAAGACAGGTCTCTGGACTCGGGCACCTTCTTACAGATATCCCGGAATCCAAAAGCAAGGGGCTCTTTTTATGGATCCCTAGCATAAGGTTTTTAGGGTGGACCCGATTTTCGATTATCATGTACTAGAGGGATGTCGCATCGCAGCAATCATATTAGACTTAAAGAGCCGTACTCCGGCAGCTGGATAGAGGGGCATAAATATCTGGGGTCCTAGGACCTCGGGTTTGGGCATAGGGCTTATTGTTTTGAGCTCAGGGTTTCAGGCTTTTACAGCTGGATCAGGATGATCTAGTTGGACTGAGAATCAGCTAGCTGGCCCATACGAACAACGCCATACGAACCAGAGATGGCAAGCTCCTTGACGATTTCCGAGCTCATCTGGAAATTTGTCAATAGCCCATACTAATTAACGGGGCTTCAGCTACCCCAACCCCCCCCAAAAATGATTAGAATGCCCTTGCTACATACCACCTCGAAATCATAAGACCTGCGCTATGGCTACGGGAACCCACAAGATCTCTGGTGGTAGGGGGTGGGCTGCCGAAGCCAGCCTCCCTAAACACCCTTTTAAAGAATCTATGCCCTAAATCCCTAAACTCTACACCCCAAACCTCAATCCTAAACCCTCAATCCCTAAACCCTAACCCTCACTGCCTAAACCCTAAAATCCTAAACCCTCAATCCCTAAACCCGAAAATCCTAAATCCAAAAACCCTAAGACCCTGAACCCCAAACCGTAAACCCTAAAACCCTAAACCCCAAACCCTAAAACCCTAAAACCCTGTATTGGGAGCCCTCTGATCCAATGAGGCTTGCCTTGCTCAGTAGGAGGCCCAGGGACCGGTGCGGGGCCAAGTCAAAGGATGGGACTCGCCTAAGGGCTTTCGGGTTTAGGGCCTATAGGGCGTGGGGTTTTGGGTTTAGGGTTTGGGTTTTAGGGTTTAGGGTTAAGGGTTTGGGGCTTGGGGTTTAGGGTTTAGGGCTTGGGGTTTAGGGTTTGTGGTCTAGGGTGGTAGGGTTTAGGGAGTAGATATCAAGATGTTGGTGGTAGATGTTGGTGGTACTTCTTGGGCGGGCTTTACATCCTATCCCAGAAGCCAATCTACACACCTAGCTCTCTAAGCCCTAAACCTTGCGTGTGTACGTGAATCTCCATTGTTCCCATTAAGGCCGCGACATCAGACCCAAAGACATAGACATACCCTCAACCATGAAACCCCTACACCAGTCCGCTACACCAGTATACCCAAACCACCCTAAACCCCAAACCCGCAAACCCCCTAAATCCTACAAACCCTAAACACCCCGAATACCCCCCCAAAACCCCTTAAGCCCCTAAGAGTCCCAGGGTTGGCAACCGGCTGATCGGCACCATCGCGGAGGTACGGTTTTCCGACGGGTTGTGCAAATTTGATTTAGGGTGTAGGAGTTGGGGTTCACCTGGGGTTTAAGGTTAGGGTTAAGGAAGGTTTTAGGGCTGAGGGTTTATGCAAGGTTGAGGGTTAGGCTTTTTATAGGGTTTAGGGTTTACATGGGGTTTAGGGTTAGGGCTTAGGATTTAGGGTGGAGGGTTTAGGATTCATTGTTTAGGGTTAGGCTTCATACAGGGTTTAGTGTTTAGGGTTGAGTACAAAGGGTCCACATATGAGCTACTGAGGCCTACAAGTTGACCATCAAGAGTCCAGAACATCCTTAATGTATTCTAGAATTAAAGAACCCATGTCCATCAAGTATATGGGAAATGGCGACTGTAGCTCATATACACTAGAGAAGCAGGACCCATAGTTCCTTCTGTAGTATGTTTGTTTGGGGTCGTATGCCATAATGGTGATACACCTGCACTCTCTCGGATAATTTGATTTTCCAAAGAGCCATGTGGGGATTTTACGAAATTGGGGACTCCCAGTTTGGGCGTTTTCCTGTACTAGGGTTATCGAATCCAGATTGGGGCCTCCAGTTTACGGCCCCCCCAGGTTGTAGAGTTGTTCAAAATTAGTGGCTCCTTTGTGGTGAGCTATGAAGATAGGTGGGAGATAGGTCTGTTCTCCAAGACACGGGTCCCTTTTGCAGGGTCCTTCTTCATATTCTCCCCTATCAATAGGTGCCTTGAGAGGGCTAGGTTCCCACCCTCAGAAAAGGTGCATGTTTCATCGCTATGCAGGTTGCAGCAGTAGTAGTACCAGTAACAGCACAAGCAACAGGGGCAGTGGGACTGCCATGAATGACAGGCGCTCTTCTTGCAGACATTGACTTGCACCACCCCAAGAATAACCTTATATGCCCTACGAAGTGCAGCACGTCGGGGAATGCAAGATTTCCTCGATGCACCGTAGTATTCCGTCCACCGTCCTTCCCATGTTCGCACACTTAATTCCACTACCCGTATTTCCACTACCTTACAGATATACGCTACGCATGGTGTTTATATACCCCTATGCACCTAGCTTGACCCCCTTTTCCGCCCAAAAGCTACAAGGGTCCCCAGTAACTAAGGGTCCTTCCTAACATTCCTAACGCCCCTAGACTTACTGTTGCTTAGTAGGGAATATGGGAATGTATTATATTGGGATCATACTGCTCCATCATTCCCTTACCAAGAACCAGTGACTTAAGGGTCCTTGCCCCTCCTAAAGTCCCCCCAAACCCTAAACCCTAAACCCTAAACCCTAAAGTCCCCTAAACCTTAAACCCTAAACGAGAACGTTCGGCACAGGGTGACGAAGAGGAGCCTGGAGAGGTCGGGGGAGCCTGCCATGATGGGGTAACGGCTATGCGGGATGGGGTTTAGGGTTTAGG